GTGCCACCTGAGGCTGATTTTAATGCTGGTTTTAAACATAACTTTGGCCATAATTCACACTCAGAGCAGGGAAACGTACTTCTGTCGAGGAAACGTGTTTTGTGTTAGCGCACTCTTGAATATTTTGACGCCGACTTTCAGTTGGGTAAGTCAATATAGTTGCTTACCTCAACACTTTTCCCTAAATACCTTTAGCACCTTTACAATTACTTGTTGGGTTTGCTTACTCCCACAACGCTGGTAATAAAATTGCTGCTTGGACAGAGAGCACCGTATCACGTGTTAGAGAAGAGGAGTGGCAGCTGGGACACAAATTGTTTCTCCTCACCTTAGGAGATACCAAGCAAATTGCTGAATTGCTTCTATAAAACAGGGGAAGTATCTAATTTTTAAATTCAATTGCTTGAATGAACGAGTTATAGAGGTTTTTTCCTGTTCTCTTGACTGGGGCATGTCTGAAGGAGGACTCCTTGTTAGAATCCACTGGGAGGAGTGACCGGTGAGAGAAGTTAATTTGTAGAAACCTAAAAGCTGTGAATGAACCGAGGTTATTTTATTTACCGCCAGGTCTGAGGCCAGTGACAGAAACCAAACCGATTCCATGGCTTGACATAACACTTGATTCAACTTCTACTGGTCTATCATCAAGATAATTATGGATGGTTTGGGTTTTGTGTCAATGCATGCCAGCCTAAAAACATGGTAGATACCTGTTGTTCATCTAAACTTGACTTTTTAAAAAGCTTTTTCGTTGGTGGTTTTGTTCGTTTGTGCTTTTGTGGGTTTTTATGTAATAAAAAGGAAATCTTTGTTTCTCTTTTCCCAGAAATTTGAATAAAGTCAGGAAGAGAAGATGTTTGGTGGATCTTATAATTCTAATCTAGAGTTACTAAGTTTTATCTCCTATTCTCTTTAAATATCTGATTTCTATTTTCAGATACTTACTAAGTCTTGTCAGTTCAGTATGTTTCGCTGAACTTGCAGCCGAATGTAGATGGTTTGATAAATTGTGTGTTTCTTGCTTTAAACCTTGTTTAAAAGTCTTTTTGATGCTTTTTTTATCCTTTTTTTAAGTGAGGGCAGTTGGAATAAATGTAGTGTCTGTGTTCCCCTGGAACAGCTAAGAAGCCACTTGGCTGTGCTAAAGTTTCAGCAAATCATATTTAGATTGCTGACATTGTTTTCATGGAAACCAAAGAAATTGATGCCACTTCTGGGTTTAAAGGACGTGTTCATCTGTAGGGTGTTTCATGTAGTCTTTTTTTTTTTTTTCTTCCTTCATCCCCTCCCAAATATTTTTGTGATTACTTTTCTTTAAGCACTAACTAACATCTCAGACAGTAATTTTCCTTTGGGCCGTGGTTTGTTTCTGAAAGATAACCGATGTGGTTGCTCAGAAGAGCACACGAGCGGCTCCAATACACGACTGTGCTGCAGGTGAATGACCAGTACGTGCCGTTACCTCTGGAGCAAGTGCATTCCCTAAAACTTGAGATATTTCATGGTACAGGCCCAAGCGAAAGTGGTTAAAATGAATGCAGTGGTGTGAGGGAAGCTGCTGTTGTAACGTCAAGGACCGTGATAAGAACACCCTTTCGTCGTGGTTTCTTGTGAATCCCTTGTATGTTTGTGATGAAGTGACTTGGCTTGGCTTTCTTCAGTGGGGATCACAAGACTCCAGGAGGCACACAAGCTGTTTTGAATCAAACCTGTCTGAAAATGGAATACTTGACGGTTACAAATAAAGTTATTTAACAGGCAACTTCCTGTGGTTTACACGCGTTCCTGAATCAGGAGGAGGATGAAGGGCTGCAGCTGAGATGTGTGTACTCCCTCTGAGCACTAAAGGGCATTTCTGCCAGCAATCAAAGCCATCGCTTAAAATCCGATGTTGTGATACGATTTATATCAATACTCGATTAAAAGAGCAAAAGCACAGTTGCCTGACAGTGGAAGATCGTCGGAGCTGACATGTCGCTGTTCATTCTGTCGTGCTGGCGTGTGTCTGAAGTTTGGTTTACTGCAGCGTGTCGGTGTGCAAGTGAGAAATGGGCTCAGCCTGCCTTGGGCTCTGTCACCTCTGACGTGTGTCTGGGGCTGCGCTGCGAGCGCGGGAGCAGGAAGCCGACGGGGGACAGGCCGGGCTCGGCGCTGGGGTTCCTGCCGGCTGCACAGGTCACTGGTGACCTTCAGCCGCACTTCAGAACTGCTCAACTGTAAAAATGACTTTAAAGGATTTCACTTGAGTTTTTTTAAAAAGCAAAAGTTCACCTGTGACTAATTCTTGGCATCGCTGTAGGTTTATTTTTTCTGATTAGAGCTCTTAATTCATGTGCTCACACAACATGGGCGCAAAGATGTCGTGGAGCGCTACAGAACTTCTGAATGGGGGCAGATCCTGCAGTTTCTCAGTCTGCTCTTGATTTTGCCCTCAGTGTGGGCGCGTTGTGGCGTGACGGCAGCTCCTGGAGCGCTGCAGCAGGCGCGTGGCAGGGCTGGACGCGGTCAGCCGCGCTGGAGTTGGTGGGGCAGAGCGGGGAAGCCCGGCTTCTTTTTTTTACCTAGTCATCTCGGGTAAACCTGAGTTTACAGTTTGTCTGAAGGGAAATTTTAGAATGTGGCAACTGTCTGTTGAATACAGCCATTTAAATACAGCCACAGTCACGGATTTAGAGTGTTCAACGATTGAACAGCTTTTGTCCTTAAATACAGAGTTGAGTCGTGTTGGTGGCACTTGCTCGGTGTGTCCTGTTAGCTGTCTGAATAGATTTTCATGAGGGAAGAACCCAGTGACTGAACCAAGGATGTGGAGGAGGGAAACTGGTACGTCACTGCTTCGTTAGCTGTGTTATACTTGTAACCAGTTCCTTTTATAGCTGAACCTCTTGGGTTTCGGAACGGCCACCTTGGCCGTTGCCTGCCCTTGCCTTTGGTATGGGACAGCCCAGAACGCCGAGCGGCCTCCTCTGCTCCCTGGCAGTTCCTGAGCTGTGGGACGTGTGGCTCTGGAGCGTTGCCGTTGCTGCAGGACGATGTGTCTTGCATTTGTGTTTTCAGGAAATCCCCGCTTTTGGGAAGCTGCTGCTGGGGGTGTTTTGTGACCTTTGCAGGCTGCGGCTTACGCGTCAGCTCCAGCTGCTCAGCCTGTAGCGGCGGGGGGGCGCGCCCCGGAGAGCTGGGAACTCCTGCGCTCCGGTCCTGCCGAGTTAATGCTGCTTTAGGGAGCAGTCATTGCCCTAAGTAGTATAAAAAAGAGCTGTCTAAGATTAAAATACGTGTACGCACGCACATACACGAGTAAATACCTTTACTTAATGAGTCTGAAATCTGGCTGATTTCTGTGTAGTCCTGTGGGCGCGGGGGGTTATCTCCTGCTAGGGCCTCCTACAGAAATTAAGTCTGACCTTAAACTTTATTTTGTCTTAATACTCAGCTACAGACAGTGGTTTTTAATACTTGGAAGGCCTGAATTCTGATCCTGTTACTCCTGCTTGAGAAGCTTAGTGGATTTGTGCATCAAGGTTGTGTGTTTTTATTTTCTGTGAAATAGGGATGCTCTTCCCCGTACACTTTCCTGCCAGGGCTGAGGCCAGAGTGGATTTCTGAAAAAAGGTGTAGGTGTGAAATACTGCTGCTGTTCAAGCAGTTGCTGCTGTGCTGCCAGACTTTAAAATAGTTAGTGTCGCTGCTGTGGTTTGTCACCTGAAAAGAAATTGCTGATGTTAAGCCAAGTAGAAGGTGAAGCAAAGCAGGAGAACTGCACTGGACTCCTGGCCTGTGGGTGTGCCGAGCACAAGGCATGTTTCAGCGAGAGTCCCGGTCTTGCCCAGTTACAAGGTGACGTTATTTACTTTACCCTACTTTCCTGCTGCCTGGATGACACACTTTAGTATTGAGGTTTGATATTCTTCCTAGATAAGTTTGAAGAGTTCAGCTGCAAGTGAGGGGAAGTCATTAGCAGGGTGATAACTCCTGCCCTTGCTCACTTGTCTGGCCTTGGATGCTTCTTGAATTTCTCATCGAGAAAATTCAGTTAGCATTCTTTCCACAGCGTGAGCACAGATGGATTCTTTTCTGTATTTACTATAAAGTAAATTAGTTACAGCTTGTTAATAGAGAGCTTTCAGAAAGAAGCATGTTTCTGCTTCTGTGATGCTGCTGAGAATCTTAAAAAGCCACTCCTTGCCTTTGCAGTAAGTGCAGTCTGTACATCTCCTGTTGCAAGCGACCTCGTGTTCAGCAGCATCCTTGGAAAGGTTCTTCCCTAATCCCAGCACCCTCATGGATTTCTGGAGGGTCGACTGTAGTTCAGGCTTGGAATAAAAAAATCTTCAGTTCCACATTACTGGAGGGATGAAAAACTGCAGTTACTGTTTGTAGGGACAGCGATGGCTTAAATCCAGAAGATAAGCTGCGTAGTAGCTGTGACGTGCAGTACGGCAGCGTGGAGAGCTCTTCGTTACTCCTCGAGTAAGGAGTTCTTGTTCAGCTTGGTCTCTGGTAGGAAACTTCAGTAAAATGCTTCATCTGTTGTGGTTTCTCATCTTCTGTTCTGTGAGTCGTTTGCTGTGCTCAGGGGAAGTACTGGTGTGAATGGGATCCTATGGCAGCGCCGCTGCAAATTCATTTATCTCTCGTGATCCCTGAACCTGAGGGTCTGTGTGTGAAGACTGTTCAAAGGGTTATAAGACTAGAATGTATCTTCTCATAATTAAGGTGTGGTTGCTGCATTGGTATTGCCTGTTGGTAACACTGTTGGATTTATTTAGCAATTCTAAACTTGGAAGGAATTTAACTATTATAAATGTGCATACTTATGCTTTTAATCGCCTAAAAATAAAATGTCAGTTGTGTTCTTGGGATAAGCTGCTTAAAAAATGATAGTTATTAAATCTTAGAACACTTAAATCTGGATTTCGGTAAATTAGCTGGACTTCAGAATGTAAACTATTGGGATCAACTGTGACACTTATTTAAATAACTGTCTGCTTTGTTTTTAGGGGGAATCTGTAAAGTATTTCTTGGACAACTTGGATAAACTTGGAGAACAAGTAAGTTCTTTTTCTTTTCAGTCTGGACTTTTAAATAGTCTTTTTGATCTCTGGGTTTTAACCAGATGAAATGTAATTAGCATCTGCTCAAATAACTTGAGTCTGTCTCATTATCTCGGCAGTTCATCACTGACATGTCAGAAACACAGAGCAATGCAAGGGCCAAGAGACTTTCTGGAAGTAAAACTTAGGTAGAAATTGAGCAAAAAAGCAAGTTAGAAATGCTTGTCCAGTTGGAAGACTGTTGAAGTAGCACTAATTAATATCCAAAAATGACTGTTTTGGGGTTTACATATTGAGTTAGGAACACTCAAATCAGCTTAAATCAGTGCGCGGGGCAGCGATACCTTTCTGTAGTACCTACTTTAAAATCAACTTACTGCAGAGTAAAATCTGTTTTCTTTGGGGGAGAAAAGCTGAAACTTCTGTAGAATGCTCTGCGCTAGAAATGCTGGTTACTGCCTGAACCATGGAGTTGTGTGCTGCTGCTCATTACTCGAGTAGTGCCGAAATGGCACGTGGAAATGCTGCCGTGACAGTGGGATGCTGGCTCGAACTCCCCGGAGCGACTGTTTCTCCATGGCCATTCCTAGCTGATGGCTAACAAGCCATGAAGGAATCCAAACCACTTCAACTGGGTCCTGTTACATCACGCTTCATTTCATCTGAACAGATAAAAAAGTAATTTTAAGCCGGACAATTTTTCCTGCTTTGAACTGTCATTTGTCTGACTAGAGCACTGGTGATCATCTTGCAGAATGTATCCGCTTCCCAGAGAGCAAGTTTGAGGACTCCAACACTCACTCTCTGGATTTTATTTGGTTTTGAGTTGCAAGGCAATGGGAGAGCTGCGCTCACTTGAATGAACCGCTAAACTTTCTGCTAATGGTGCATTTCTCATCGTCTTTGAATCCAGTGCCACTTGAAGATTTGGGGTTTTTCCCCACTCACATATTTGGACTCCTTTGGGTAAAGATTTTTGCAGCTTCTTTTCAAAGTTCTTCATTTAGAAACCTTGGGTCATTCTTTGATTAAAGTGTGAAACTTGGGAGTCACTAGAGGGGTTTTTTTTGTATTTTTGTATACATGTGCAGTTATTTTAGATCTGCTGTAGCTGTGGGAACGCTGAGCTCTGAATTACAGCTATTCCTCTTAAAATTAGCCCAAACAGTGCAGAAATACAGAGGGACTCTTCAAGATCTGCTGTCGCAGAAAACGTCAGATCTTTGTGGTAGCTAATTTTGTTACGGAGTGGAAAGACTTGATAGATTCTTCTGGTTTATTCTTATCTATATGGAAGATTTTTCTAATGATTATTTGCCCAGACTGCATCCATATAAGTGTTTTACTGTTCTTATTTATCTGATACAACGGGGCTGGCCTGCAACTAAATTGCTTATGAAGGAGATAGACCCGCGATTCGTGTGCCTCTTGCCGAAGGGAGCTCATGTGCCTCTTTGCCAAGAGCGAGCTGATAACAGCGTG